CTGCTTTGTGTTTGTATTTACAACCTCATCAATTATGTGGGAAGTCAATGATCACCTCTCAACTCTGACCAGGATGATGCATGTCCGTCATGCCCCAAAGTCGTGGGTCGATGCTCACACTTTCTACCACTGGTTTGCCTGCTCCTGTGCACACAGTCACGCTTCGCGGGCATAGATCACGATAGATCGGTATGGGACGTATAAATAAGTTTTAAATTAACCTTAGATTTAATCTATGCATGGAGAAAACTGAATGTGTCTATATTCTCTATACAGAAATTTGTAGAAGAGATGTGAAATGCCGTGTTGAAAGTTGATAAAAAATCAAATACTTTCCTATTTGCCTTTAGGTTAATATCGAGCCCTGATGCTAAATAGTCATATTTATTACCCACGTGGTGAAGATACAGGTGGTAAGATACTAAATCCGTACGTCACACGTGTTTCGTACAAGGTTGACCTTGTTTTTATTCGTTTTAATTGGATAACCGTGCCCTCTGTCACACCGGGACGACTTTTTTTCATTCATAAGATCTCGCGAGACGTCATTCCTTTTGGGAGCACCTTTAGAATACAGTACCACAGCTTCTCCTTTAGACGATCTCTGCCGTATGTCACGTGTCTCAAAGACAAGCAACCAGTTATAAAGAACTCGCGACCTTCCGATTGTTAGCCCGACAGCTTACCGACTGAGCTACGTCCACAAGTGATCTACAAGATACCGAGTGGTGAGGAATGAGCCGAAATGGCGAGAACTCAACACGGCTCTTGGCGTCAAACGTCATACGTCGAACCCGCGGGTACGCATGAATGACAAGGAATTTAATCATTCGTCGGGTGATTTTTGTGACAGAAAAGTGTGGTAGAGAATACTGTAAGGATAATGTGGATAATTGTTAGGAACGAGGGAGGCATAAGCATGGCTAGTGACGACACAAGGGTGAGTTCGCTTTTGAATCAGTACTTAATAAATGTAGCGTGTATACAGTTTCCAGTAGCTAAAATATTCGACAGAAAACCATTTCATCCTTTTATCTCGACGTTTTTGTGTGAAGAATATTAGGAGCATCTATGGAATCAATAATAGCCACTAAACGGGTACCGGAGCACCTTTAGAATACAGTACCACAACTTCTCGTGAGGACGATCTCTGCCGAAAGTCACATGTCTCAAAGACTAGCAACTAGTTTTTGTGAGAATCCGTCGGACGCGTACCCCCGACCTTCGGATTGTTAGCCCGACAGTTTACCGTCTGAGCTACGTCCACAAGTGATCTACAAGATACCGAGTGGTGAGGAATGAGCCGAAATGGCGAGAACTCAACACGGCTCTTGGCGTCAAACGTCATACGTCGAACCCGCGGGTACGCATGAATGACATGGAATTTAATCATTCGTCGGGTGATTTTTGTGACAGAAAAGTGTGGTAGAGAATACTGTAAGGATAATGTGGATAATTGTTAGGAACGAGGGAGGCATAAGCATGGCTAGTGACGACACAAGGGTGAGTTCGCTTTTGAATCAGTACTTAATAAATGTAGCGTGTATACAGTTTCCAGTAGCTAAAATATTCGACAGAAAACCATTTCATCCTTTTTTATCGACGTTTTTGTGTGAAGAATATTAGGAGCATCTATGGAATCAATAATAGCCACTAAACGGGTACCGGAGCACCTTTAGAATACAGTACCACAACTTCTCGTGAGGACGATCTCTGCCGAAAGTCACATGTCTCAAAGACTAGCAACTAGTTTTTGTGAGAATCCGTCGGACGCGAACCCGCGACCTTCGGATTGTTAGCCCGACAGTTTACCGTCTGAGCTACGTCCACAAGCAACCAGTTTTTGTGAGAATCCGTCGGACGCGAACCCGCGACCTTCGGATTGTTAGCTCGCCACTGAACTGCATCCCCACTGTAAAACAAAGTGCAAATTTACCTAGTCATGCCCATGACGTTACGGAACTGAACGAAAAGGGTCGAATAGGTGACGGACACTTACGAAGGTTACGGGTAGACATGGTGTCTCGTGACTTTAGTCTACGGACACATACGAATGATACCGATGCCATTTGGCACACTCGTCCCATTCTGTAATCTACAAGATACCGTGTGGTGATGAATGAGCCGATATGGCGCGAACTGAAAACGGCTCCAGGTGATTTTTGTGACAGAAAAGAGTTGTGGGGAACACTGTAAGGATGATGTGGACAATAGTAAGGAACGAGGGAGGCACCCTGGCTTGTGTGAATGTTCCAGGACAGTTTCCGGTAGCCAAAATAGTCGACACAAAACCATTGCATCCTTTATACTCGACGTTTTTGTGTGAAGAATATTAGGAGCCTCCATAGAATCTATAACAGCCACTAAACGAGTACCTAACCCTTATGTTTGTAAAGGGGGTTCAAGGGCTAAGGATAGTGTTCGGGGTAACCTACCCTAACACTGGCGACATTTGGATGTGTTCAGCAATATCCCTTATAATCTGCATTCTTGTGAATAATAATGAAAATTAATTAACCGGAAAAATAATATATGTATATTAGTTCCCATTTATGAATTACGAGAAATACGAAATAAAAAAATAAATAAAAAATAAAAGTGCTTTCGTAAACTAGCGCTTGTTCTAAAATGCGCCGCCGCAGGCTAAATATAGCAACATATATGTTTATATAGCATATAAACAAATATTCAAAACTCCCAACACCGCTGGGCGTATTTAATGACATTGCGTGTAGAGATGATAGATCACTGGGAGGAGCTTTATGCCCACTCAATGAACCCTGACGTCGCCGGTGTGACTGGCAACAAAATACTACAAATTACGTCATAGGGTATTGTCACGTGTTTGAAAAGTTTGTGGTACTGTATTCTAAAGGTAGGGTCCCACCCGACCACTTTCGCAACTTTCAATTTGATTTAACGTAAAGGGATAAGCGTGGTGAAGTAAAGTCAGTTTAAACTATCTGGGCAGATATCTAGACTTACTTGGGATGTTCAGGCTGTGCCACCAGTGTCCCCTTCGAAGCGTATTTTGTGGCACTGTTTCGGGAGTTGTTTGTTCACGACTGTAAGACCAGATCACTCAAAGTGAACATTTCCGATACAAATCATTCGAAAACTCCACAGAAGTGTGCCTAAATTTCTGATTATGTGGCCCAAAATATCCCAAATGTGAACAATAACATTCCCCATCTCCAGCGTAAAACGCTGTAAGTAGATCACGGTTGTCTTTTCTTATTCCGGTGGTGACCTTGCCCTTCGTTCGAAGCTGTCACTGACATGCAATCAGACTTGAGTTTGTTGATTTTCACGTCTTCAGTATAAGGGTGGTACAGTTGACATGAATGTCTTTGGCGAACACTCTGATTTCCCTCTTCCAAAATGGTACGGACATGATATAAATTCAGCTGATAGATCAAGGACGCCGAACCATTTTGAATGCACAGACGGGACCCCGGCAGTTCGAGTGACCGACTCTTGGTCCGATATTCAAAGCGCGGCGGTAATGTGACTTTTCAAATTTTCTTATAAAGGTGTCCTGCGTGCTAACAACATGACTCTTGAATTACCTAAAGTTGAAGAAATTCTTCCAAAAGGATCTTGAGCGTCGGTGCTGTTTTGTTTGCAAACACAACTGCAGGCGCATGTTGTTAATGCGTATGCATAGAAATGTCAACATTGCCCATATTTGGGCATATATCATTATTCATGCGCAACCAGATTTTGCAACCGGTTTCAGTTTGGTCTGTCAACGAACGAAAGTTGTAATGTATTTACACTTAAATATATATTCAACGTGGATCAGATATCATAGAAAGTCTACTCGTTTCGAAAAAAAATGGTATCTAACGAGAATGAGTGTAGTATTCTCTATATATTTCTTCTTACCGAGTAATTAGCTCCAGGAAGCAATACGTTACATGTTCAAAGAGAAAGAATACACCCTGACACAAGGTAGGTAACTCTGTACCTCTTGTGCCGGTCATGCGTGGCTCTATTTCGGGCACAATGCATAGAAGGGACATGAAATGTTGGAAACAGTATTTCGTTTCCCAAATTTCTTCTCCTTTGCCCCTCAAAATAGCATGACATTCCCTCGGACTAATAAGTTGTTTTCTACATAAATAGAAAATAATATATTAGTGTGACATAAGTGTGTCCCCAGTCTGTCTGACATATGTGTCCCCAGTCTGTCTGACATAAGTGTGTCCCCAGTATGTCTGGAATAAGTGTGTTCCCAGTCTGTCTGACATATGTGTCCCCAGTCTGTCTGACATAAGTGTTTCCCCAGTCTGTCCGGCATAAGCGTATCCCAAGTCTGTCTGACATCAGTGTGTTCCCATTTGGGAACTTCTCCAAACCTATTCTATAGAATCGAGCAGCATATTTAGTGCGGATCATCTGATGTCAGACAGCACGTTAACTCGAGATGAATGTCACGTTTATTACAACCTGGAGTGTTAGGTGAAAAGTTAACGCACCAGAAGAGCTTCCTGTCAACTATTATACCAGAAACTCAACAGTGAATATTTGATGACAAATGTTGTCTGTGAACAACTTACTGATATATTTGAACGCTATGGATTTGTTTTGAATCAATACGGGCTGTTGTGTGTAATATAACACAAACAATATGAGAAAAGACACGGACATAATATTTGTACGACGGATCAAAGGCTTGCTCTGGTAATCAGTGGAGAGTGCACCCAAACAAAAGGGACACAACTCCGCAGTGACTAATATCAGTCCAGTGTAACCCTGCAGTAATTTGTGGATGATAGCGATTCTTTTTCCAAGTGTGTAAGTGAGTGAGTGAGAATGGTTTTACGCAGCTTTTAGCAATATTCCAGCAATATCACGCTGGGGTCACCAGAAATGAGCTTCTCACATTGTACCCATGTGGGGAACAGAACCCGGGCCTTCGGCGTGACGAGCGAACGCCTTAACCACCAGGCTACCCCACCGCCCCATTTTCCAAGTGTTTTGTTCACTTGTGATCTTAACTGTTCCACCTCGAGTATCGAACCGTGAACTATGCTATTATAAAATATGGACGCGTATTAGATGTGAGTGAAGCACTAGGATATCTAAATGTCAAGTAATTATGGAATTAAAGATGCATCCTGACGTCTTTGACTGCTTTGAAAGGACACTTAATTTGTGCGTCTTCAACACGCATAATTTGTTATGTGTCGTGAAGAGACTGAGCGCAGCTAACATAAAGCTGTACCGAGCATGGTGAACACAGTCAGTGACGTCATAGACAGAAACAGTGGAAATGACGTCACAGAATGGTTCCATGACGACGTTGATGGTTCCCAATCAGTCGCCGACACAACTTGGTGGTGTTCAGACGTACATCTGTTGCTGTTACAAAACTTCACATTTGTTGCTGGTCTGTGTCTGCTTTGCACAAGTCTAAACCTCATCTCAGTATTAGGTAAGCCATGCCAGTCTAACTCCTACAGTTGATTTACTTTTACTGATAGCGTTTGTTTACTAACTCTCGTTCACATCTATATTTCATGGCTCTGAAATTCTTTATCAGTAAATTACTTTTGTATTCATTAACACACAGTCTCCAATGTTATTACGGAACTCAAATGTTTCTGTCTTTTTCTGATAGATTTTCACGCACATATGTAACGTGTAGACTGAATCACTTTGCCTATTTGTCTGATGTTTTAGTTATTGTTTTATCCATAAACTAGTTCTGTTTGGATCAAATCTCAGTCTGCAATGTATGCTTCAATTCCTAAATTCATATTAGATGTATTTTTATCCCACAGATGAAGATGTATCCACAAGAACGACTGAAGAGTCGGAAACTACTCTCCCCCATACTCGAGGCGGACGAGCGTCAGTCTAACCCACGAAGTTCAAGAACGCCAGAACTGCATCAAGATTTACTTGGTAGGACATCCTGAATTTATAATACAAAACAAATTAAATGCAAGATATCATTACTTGATGTGTTTGTTTGAAGAAAATACAGTTACATTCCGAGTATGTTTTGGTCTATATATAACAGTGGAATCGAGTCGGGTGTTTGTACTTTTGTTTTTGTTTTCGTTTCTAGTTCAGTACATGGACTTGAAATCTCAAGTCGGAGATTTGGAGGAAAGGTAGGCACTGTTTCGTTTGATGTTCATGAACGTTCTTTCGATGTGACAGGTCATAGAAACGACCATTTTAATTTAATCCAGAACCGACACAATCTTCTTCTCTGTCAGTCATGAGACTAATCGTAGCACAATTTACCGTTACATTGTAGACCACGTGATGCCCATCCCTGATGCACACTGCCATGCAGGTGCAATGTGTCTAATGTTGGCGTACAACATACAAAATAGAAAAATAAGAAATGTACATCTCATTTAAATATTATAGACAAAATGACTTTGAGAAACGATATCTTCTAAACTATCGACATGTCTTTTTCAGTCTTCTCGATCACCTTTTCAATGAGAACCAGAAGCTGAGAGAGGAGAACGAGCGACAGGCCCGACAACTCCGGGAGGGGAACGCCTTAAGGCTGAAAGCTGAGTCGGAGAGACAGGACTATAGGCTGGAATATTACAACTATCGTCTCAGCTACACAATGGCGCAGGCTGAGCTCCAGGAACTGAAGCAGACGCTAGAGGGGCTGGCGGGCGACTGGGAGAAGGAGAAGCAGACAGAGATGGAGCAGAGGAAGAAGCTGGAGGAAGAGCTGGCAGCTCTCCAGCGCCAGACTGCCCCTCTGACCTGTCACACTCCTGCCAATAAGCGGACCAGTTCCTCCAGCGTCAGTCCTCCAGTTCAACCAAGGAAGGCTCGAAGACCTTACACAGGAAAGTCAAAGGACAAGGTTCCAAGCAATATCTCACATGTCAAGACAGACTTCTCTGCTTCCGGTGACGACTTGGTGAAGGCCAAGGCCACAGATAAGAATGAAACCAAGTTGAAGGTCACTTCCAGTGTAAGATCCATTCTGAAAGACACCAAGAGAGGGCAGGATGCTGAAAAGAAACCAACCCGATCCTCCAGGAACCTTTCTGTTAGATTCACAAAGGAAATGCCAATTGGAAAGATCCGTCACGAAATGTAATTACGACCCTCGCCATAAGGAACAAACTTTATAAACTGTTTGATTGTTGGTTCTTTAATTCATATTGATTTCACATTCTTTTAATTCCGTGTGTAAAATAATCGCTGATTATGTTGTGCATGTGTCATTGTTTCTCTGTTAACATCTGAGTAAAATATCACGTTACTGAAGAAACTGCTTTGTGTTTGTATTTACAACATCATCAATTATGTGCGAAGTCAAATGATCACCTCTCAAAGTCGTGGGTCGATCCTCACACTTTCTACCTCTGGTTTGCCTGCTCCCGTGCACACTATGTCACACTTATGTCGGACAGACTGGGGACACACTTATGTCAGACAGACTGGGGACCCACGTGTGTGCCCAGTCTGTCCGACATAAGTGTGTCCCCAGTCTGTCTGACATAAGTGTGTCCCAGTCTGTCTGACATAAGTGTGTCCCCAGTCTGTCCGACATACGTGGGTCCCCAGTCTGTCTGACATACGTGGGTCCCCAGTCTGTCTTGCATAAGTGTGTCCACAGTCTGTCCGACTTAAGTGTGTCCCCAGTCTGTCTGACACAAGTGTGTCTCCAGTCTGTCTGACATAAGTGTGTCCCCAGTCTGTCTGACATAAGTGTGTCCCCAGTCTGTCTGACTTAAGTGTGTCCCCAGTCTGTCTGACACAAGTGTGTTTCCAGTCTGTCTGACATAATTGTGTCCCTAGTCTGTCCGACTTAAGTGTGTCACCAGTCTGTACGACATAAGTGTGTCCCAAGTCTGTCTGACATGTGTGTCCCCAGTCTGTCTGACATGTGTGTCCCCAGTCTATCTGACATAAGTGTGTCCCCAGTCTGTCTGACATAAGTGTGTCCCCAGTCTGTCCGACTTAAGTGTGTCCCCAGTCTGTCTGACACAAGTGTGTCTCCAGTCTGTCTGACATAAATGTGTCCCCAGTCTGTCTGACATAAGTGTGTCCCCAGTCTGTCTGACTTAAGTGTGTCTCCTGTCTGTCTGACACAAGTGTGTCTCAAGTCTGTCTGACATAAATTTGTCCTGAGTCTGTCCGACTTAAGTGTGTCCCCAGTCTGTCTGACATAAGTGTGTCCCCGTCTGTCTGACATATGTGTGTCCCCATTCTGTCTGACATAAGTGTGTCCCCATTCTGTCTGACATAAGTGTGTCCCGAGTCTGTCTGACATAAATGTGTCCCCAGTATGTCTGACATAAGTGTGTCCCCAGTCTGTCTGACATAAGTGTGTGCCAAGTCTGTCTGACATAAGCGTATCCCAAGTCTTTCTGCCATAAGTGTATCCCCAGTCTGTCTGAAATAAGTGTGTTCCCAGTTGGGAACTTCACCAAACCTATTCTACAGAATCGAGCAGCATCTTTAGTATGGATCATCTTATGTCAGACAGCACGTTAACTCGAGATGAATGTCACGTCTATTACAACCTGGAGCGTAATTTAAAACGCTAACGCACTAGAAGAGCTTCCTGTCAACTATTAAAACAGAAAAACTCAACAGTGAATATTTGATGACAAATTTTGACTGTGAACAACTTACTGACATATTTTTGAAAGCTATGGATTTGTTTTGAATCAATACGGGCTGGTGTGTGTAATATAACACAAACAATATGAGAAAAGACACGGACATAATATTTGTACGACGGATCACAGGCTTGCTCTGGTATTCAGTGGAGAGTGCACCCAAACAAAAGGGACACAACTCCGCAGTGACTAATATCAGTCCAGTGTAACCTTGATGTAATTTGTGGATGATAGCGATCCTTTTTCCAAGTACGTAAGTGAGTGAGTGAGAATGGTTTTACGCAGCTTTTAGCAATATTCCAGCAATATCACGCTCGTGTCACCAGAAACGAGCTTCTCACATTGTACCCATGTGGGGAACAGAACCCGGGCCTTCGGAGTGACGAGCGAACGCTTTAACCACCAGGCTACCCCACCGCCCCATTTTCCAAGTGTTTTGTTCACTTGTGATCTTAACTGTTCCACCTCGAGTATCGAACCGTGAACTATGCTATTATAAAATATGGACGCGTATTAGATGTGAGTGAAGCACTAGGATATCTAAATGTCAAGTAATTATGGAATTAAAGATGCATCCTGACGTCTTTGACTGCTTTGAAAGGACACTTAATTTGTGCGTCTTCAACACGCATAATTTGTTATGTGTCGTGAAGAGTGAGTGAGTGAGTATGGTTTTACGCCGCTTTTAGCAATATTCCAGCAATATCACGGCGGGGGCCACCAGAAATGGGCTTCACAAATTGTACCCATGTCGGGAATCGAACCCGGGTCTTCGGCGTGACGAGCGAACGCTTTAACCACAAGGCTACCCGACCGCCCCTTGTGTCGTGAAGAGACTGAGCGCAGCTAACATAAAGCTGTACCGAGCATGGTGAACACTGTCAGTGACGTCATAGACAGAAACAGTGGAAATGACGTCACAGAATGGTTCCATGACGACGTTGATGGTTCCCACTCAGTCGCCGACACAACTTGGTGGTGTTCAGACGTACATCTGTTGCTGCTGCAAAACTTCACATTTGTTGCTGGTCTGTGTCTACTTTGCACAAGTCTACACCTCATCTCAGTATTAGGTAAGCCATGCCAGTTTAACTCCTACAGTTGGTTTACTTTTACTGAGAGCCTTTGTTTGCTAACCCTCGTTCACATTTATATTTCACGGCTCTGAAATTCTTTATCAGTAAATTACCTTTGTATTAATTGACACTCAGTCTCCAATGTAATTACGGAACTCAAATGATTCTGTCTTTTTCTGATAGATTTTGAGGCACAGCTGGAACGTTTAGATTTAATCATTTTTCCTATTTGTCTGATGTTTTAGTTATTGTTTTATCCACAAACTGATTCTGTTTGGATCAAATCTCAGTCTGCAATGTAAAAACTCAAATTCCTAAATTCAAAAGTAATTTATGTTTTGTCCCACAGATGAAGATGTATCCACAAGAACGACTGAAGAGTAGGAAACTACTCTCCCCCATACTCGAGGCGAACGAGCGTCAGTCTAACCCTCGTAGTCCAAGAACGCCAGAACTGCATCAAGATTTACTTGGTAGGAAATCATAGTTTTATAATACAAAACAAATTAAATGCAAGACATCATCACTTGATGTGTTTGTTTGAAGCAATTACAGTTACATTCCAAATATGTTTTGGTCTATATATAACAGTGGAATCGAGTCAGGTGTTTGTACTTTTATTTTTGTTTTCGTTTCCAGTTCAGTACATGGACTGGAAATCTCAAGTCGGAGATTTGGAGGAAAGGTAGGCACTGTTTCGTTTGATGTTCATGAACGTTCTTTCGATGTGACAGGTCATAGAAACGACCATTTTAATTTAATCCAGAACCGACACAATCTTCTTCTCTGTCAGTCATGAGACTAATCGTAGCACGATTTACCGTTAGATTGTAGACCACGTGATGCCCATCCCTGATGCACACTGCCATGCAGGTGCAATGTGTCTTATGTTGGCGTACAAAATACAAAATAGAAAAATAAGAAATGTACATCTCATTTAAATATTATTCACAAAATGACTTTGAGAAACGAAATCTTCTAAACTATCGACATGTCTTTTTCAGTCTTCTCGATCACCTTTTCAATGAGAACCAGAAGCTGAGAGAGGAGAACGAGCGACAGACCCGACAACTGCGGGAGGAGAACGCCTTAAGGCTTAACGCTGAGTCGGAGAGACAGGACTATAGGTTGGAGTATTTCAACTATCGTCTCAGTTACACAATGGCGCAGGCTGAGCTCCAGGAACTGAAGCAGACGCTAGCGGGGCTGGCGGGCGACTGGGAGAAGGAGAAGCAGACAGAGATGGAGCAGAGGAAGAAGCTGGAGGAAGAGCTGGCAGCTCTCCAGCGCCAGACTGCCCCTCTGACCTGTCACACTCCTGCCAATAAGCGGACCAGTTCCTCCAGCGTCAGTCCTCCAGTTCAACCAAGGAAGGCTCGAAGACCTTACACAGGAAAGTCAAAGGACAAGGTTCCAAGCCGGATCTCACATGTCAAGACAGACTTCTCTGCTTCCGGTGACGACTTGGTGAAGGCCAAGGCCACAGATAAGAATGAAACCAAGTTGAAGGTCTCTTCCAGTGTTAGATCCATTCTGAAAGACACCAAGAGAGGACAGGGTGCTGAAAGGAAGCCAACCAGATCATCCAGGAACCTTTCTGTGAGATTCACAAAGGAAATGCCAATTGGAAACATCCGTCGCGAAATGTAATTACAACCCTCGCCACAAGGAACAAACTTTATGAACTGTTTAATTGTTGGTTCTTTAATTCATAATTATTTCACATTCAATTTCGTGTGTAAAATAATCGCTCATTATGTTGTGCATGTGACAGTGTTTCTCTGTTAACATCTGAGTAATATATCTCGTTACTGAAGAAACTGCTTTGTGTTTGTATTTACAACCTCATCAATTATGTGGGAAGTCAATGATCACCTCTCAACTCTGACCAGGATGATGCATGTCCGTCATGCCCCAAAGTCGTGGGTCGATGCTCACACTTTCTACCACTGGTTTGCCTGCTCCCGTGCACACACTGTCACGCTTCGCGGGAATAGATCACGATAGATGAAAGTTGATGAAGAAAACAAATACTTTCATATTTACCTTTATGTTTATATCGAACACTGAAGCTAAAAGGTCATTTACATTTCTTTTCACCGAGTACTTAGCTTCAGGACGCAATTCGTTACATGTTTAATGAGTGAGTATACACCCTGACACAAGGTAGACAACTCTGTTCCCCTTATTTCGTGGAGGGACATGAAATGTTGGAAACATGATTTCGTTCCCCAAATTTCTTCTTTCTTTTCCTTCAAAATAGCCTGACATTCCCTCGGATTAACATTTGTTCGGCGGAAACATGGAACCAGGTTGTTTTCTACATAAGTAGAAAATAAGATATGAGATATTATACACTGTGTCGTAATAACTATATAAATGGTCATGAAATCATTTTGAAGTGAATTAATAAGTCCCCATTTAGTTACTGACATGGGTGAATGGAGTGAAGAATACCGAGTCCGTCATTGACCCTTTGAACCTTCACCCGCCTTTGTGACCGATGTTTGTTAACCAGTTTTCATACATGCGCATATGGCATGCATATCTACGTTACAT